TTCTTGCAACACACTCCCTTATATAGTGGTAGCGAATATCAATGTGCTTGCTTCGATCATGGAATACTGGATTCTTCGCTAAGGCAATGGCTGACTTGTTGTCGACACAAACCTTGGTAGGCTCTTCTTGTATCAAACCAATCTCCTTCAATAGATTTCTAAGCCAAATTGCATGACAAACACATGAGGTAGCAGCAACATATTCCGCTTCACAAGTAGATAATGTGACAATCGGTTGTTTCTTTGACATCCATGTGAATGCAATATCTCCATGAAAAATACGAATCCAGTAGTGCTCCTTCGATTATCTATGTCTCCACCCCAATCACTGTCGCTATATCCAACAAGCTTGTAATCATTAGAAACTGAATAGAACAAGCCAAAGTCAATTGTACCTTTCAGATAGCGAAGAATTCTCTTTGCGGCTTTAAAATGGGTGGTTGTTGGGGATTCCATGTAGCGACTAACCAATCCAACTGCGTGAAGAATATCGGGTCTCGTGCAAGTTAGATAGCGTAGACTTCCTACCAAACTTTTGAAGAATGTTGGATCTACACTTTCGCCTTCTTCATGTTTGGTATCTTGATCCCGTATTCTGCCGGTGTGCTTATTGGCTTACAGTTCTCCATCTTGAACTTCTTCAGTATCTCCTTTGCATAGCTTTCCTGTGAAATGAAAATTCCATCATTTGTTGCTTAACTTCAATGCCAAGGTAGTACGCCATGAGCCCCATGTCTGTCATCTCGAATTCTTTCATCATCACATCCTTGAATTCATTAAACATGCTTGGGTTGCTTCCAGTGAAGATCAAATCGTCCACGTAGAGGCACGATCAAAATATCTTCATCTTTGATCTTGATATATAGAGCATGCTCGTAGGGACATTTGTTGAAGCCATTCTCTTGGAAGTACTTGTCGATTCGGCTATTCCATGCCCTTGGTGCTTGTTTTAGCCCGTAAAGAGCCTTCTTCAACTTCAACACCTTGTCTTCATGCCCTTTGACTTCATAGCCTGATGGTTGCTGAATGTAAAGTTCCTCTTCAAGAACTCCATTTAGGAAGGCGGACTTTACATCCATCTGTTGTATCTTCCACTTGTTTTGAGCTGCCAAAGAAATGATTAGTCTGATAGTCTCCAATCGAGCAACAGGAGCAAATACCTCATCATAGTCAATTCCAGCCTTTTGACTATAGCCTTTAGCAACTAGCCTCGCCTTGTGCCTTTCAATCTCTCCTTTGGCGTTTTGCTTTGTTTTGTACACCCATTTGACACCTATCGCCTTATGTTCCTTGGGAAGTGAGGTAAGTTCCCATGTGTCATTCTTCTCGATGGCCTTGATTCTTCGTCCATCGCATCTCTCCATTTCTTTTCTTGTACCGCTTCTTGAAAGCTCACTGGTTCACAATCGGCAAACAGACAAAATAATGTAAGATTATCTTGTCGTTCAGTTACCTCATAGAGATCTCTAAGGCTTCTTGTGCGTTGCACAACTCTTTCACTTGACTCCCACTTGACGATGATGAAGGTGATGAGTCTCCTTGAGTGGTTGATGTTGGTGAAGTGGGTGGAGTTGCAAGCTCTTGTTGAGATTCATCTAGTTGCTCCCTCATTGTCTGCTCATCTTCTTCAAACTGAGGAAAGAAATTGAAGTCATCTGTATGGGAGTTAAAATCCCATTCTCCTTCTTCGTTGAAGACCACATCTCGACTAATCACAAACTTCTTATTGTCTGGATTGTACAACTTGTAGCCCTTCGAATTAGCATCATAGCCGATGAAGATAAAACTCTCGCTTTTATCATCAAGCTTCGTTCTTCTCTCGTCTGGTACGTGAACATGGGCTATACTTCCAAAGGTTCTCAAGTGGGAAATGCCAGGCTTTCTTCCACTCCATGCCTCTTGCGGTGTCTTTCCCCATACACTTCTTGTTGGAGATCGATTTGACAAGTAGACTGCACACGATACTGCTTCCGCCCAAAATTCTTTGGGTAGTTCTTGCTTTTGAGCATGCTTCGTGCCATGTCGAGGATTGTTCTATTCTTCTTTCTGCCACACCATTTTGCTGGGGGGATCTAGGAACTGTCATTGGTCGACGAATTCCATTTGCTTCACAGAACTCTTGAAACTCCCTGGAAGTAAATTCTCCACCTCGATCGGATCTCATGGCTTTGATCTTTCTACCGCTTTCTCTCTCACTGCTTTGAACTTCTTGAATACTTCAAAACTTCTGACTTCTGTTTCAAGAAATATACCCAGGTTTTTCTTGAAAATCATCAATGAAGAGAAGAAAATAGTTATTGTTACCGAGAGAACTTGGCTTGATTGGTCCACACACATCGGTATGGATGAGCTCAAGTGGCTTCTTAGCTCTTGTCTCTGACTCCTTTGGAAAGCTTTTCCTGAATTGTTTCCCGACTAGACACCCTTCACAGAGTTGGTCAGGATGGTTGATGTGAGGTAGTCCTTTCACCATCTCCTTCTTAGATAATAGCTCTAGACCTCCAAAATTGAGATGCCCAAATCGAAGATGCCAAAGCCATGATGCATCTTTGTAGCAAGCTTTCAGGCACTTTGCAACATCATTTTGTATGTTGATCAAGAACATTCTATTCTTTGACATCGGCACTTTAGCAATGAAGTTATTCTTATCATCTTTTATAGAAAGATTATAATTATCATATGAATATCATAACCTTTCTCTACCAGTTGCCCTAAACTTAAAATGTTACTTTTCATATTGGGCACATAGTAGACATTTGAAATAAATTGATGTCTCCCATCTTTCAAACGGATAAGAATGTTACCTCTCCCTTTCACTGCTATTGTGGAATCATCTCCAAACGAAACATTTCCACTTACTGACTCGTCTAGCTCCACAAACATGTCTTTCCTTCCACACATGTGATTGCTTGCACCACTGTCAAGATACCAGGAATTTGCTTGGCCACCATCAGTTTCCTTTCGTGCTAGAAGAAGAGTTTCTTTGCCATCTGTCTTTTCCTCCACGTAATTGGCCTTCTCCTCAATTTTGTTGTTGGGAGCTCTACATTCTGAAGCATAATGCCCAAATTTTTGACAATTATAACATCGAATTTGAGATTTGTCATACTTTGAGTTTGGATTAATTCTTCCACGGCCTCGTGTTGAGCTTTCTCCTTTCTCATAGTTGTTGTTGGAATTGTTATTGTTGTAATTCCAGCCTCGTCCACGACCTCGACTTCCACCTCGTCCATGGCCTCTACCTCTGCCTTGGCCACGTTGGTTTCTATCATTGCGTTGGCTCTCATGCATATCCTTGAGTTGCAGCTTGAGGAGTTGCTCAGTAAACTCATGCTTCTTTTTATGCTTCTCTTCGTATGCTTGCAATGATCCTTGGAGCTGTTCGATCTTCATTTCTTCCAAGTCTTTAGTTTCTTCAATCGTCACGACGATGTGCTCAAATTTGGGATCCAACGAACGGAGTATCTTCTCTATTATCCTCACATCGTCTAACTTTTCACCATTTCTTTTTAATTGATTAGAAACAGCTACTACTCTTGAGAAATAATCTGAAATAGACTCAGATGCTTTCATGTTTAAGGATTCGAATTCACCTCTTAATGTTTGGAGACGAACCTTCTTCACTTGCTCGGATCCTTTGTAAGAGGTTTGCAGCTTCTCCCACGCTTCCTTGCTAGAGCTTGCACTTGAAATCTTTTCAAAACCATCATCATCTAATGCTTGATAGATGAGGTAGAGAGCCTTCTTGTCTCTCTTTCTTGAATCCTTCAAAGTTGTCTTTTGATCTGGTGTAAGAGTAGCAAAAACATCATCATCCGCAGGCTCATTATAGCCTTTCTCTATGATATCCCACACATCTTGTGATCCAAGAAGTGCCTTCATTTTGATACTCCAATTGTCGTAGTTGTTGTTGTTGAGTGTCGGAACTTGGAATGGTGCCATACCATTTGCCATATCTCTCAATATAATGAGATTTTGTAAAATCCGATTGCACGGATGAATCCGGAACGATGAAAAAAAAAACTTTGGAGGGACTTGGACACCTCGGTCAAGGGCTCCAACTCGGCTGAATCGGCTCAACTCGGTGAGTCAACTCGATTTTCTGGCAGCAGTCTTCCGGCGGTGCGTGGCGGTGCGTCAGAACTCAGATTGAGAAAATTCTGGCAGCGGCGTATTCCTCTCGTCGAGACCTTCGATCTTTCCAACTCGCTCTGATACCACTTTGTTGGAAATAAAACGCTCACACAAACAACTTTTATTGAAACTCAAACAAATATTACAAGAGTACTCTCACTCAAAAACAAGAACTACAACTCACTCTTATAAGACTTTGCTTCTTCACTCACTTAGAAGCTCTTAATTTTTCTTGATGCTTAAAACTAAAATGGGAAGGGGTATTTATACTACTCAAGAACAATCCTACACCACACAAATAAACTAATTTAAACCATTACAAATTCAACAAATATCTAACTCTCACCTAACTAAATTGATGTAAGCAATGACATCATTAATTAAATGATGTAAGCAATGACATCTTTAATTAAATGATGTAAGTAATGACATCAATTTAGTTTGGGTTTGGGTTTAGGCTCCCATAATGGATCAAGTTTATGATCCAACAAGCAGTACTTGTTCCTTGTGAGAAAATTAAAATTTTCTTCTTTTGGAGAATATTTCTCATCTGGGTTTTGCATATTTCTTTTGTGAGTATTGGTTTAGGATATTAAGCACGTGTGTTTACATAAATGACATGGATTCTTCTTCTTCTTTTTTCCTGTTTGTTGAGTAGATTTGGTGGTTATGAATTGTTCTTCCTCTTTCTTTCACTATGGATAAAATAAGATTTAAAATTTACATAGTTTGAGCTTATGTATTTATAAAACTAATGGGTTTGTTAAGGGGTATCAGATCTAAAAAGGGCTTATGGTTTGTGTGATATAGATATGAGTTATGAGTAGTGGGGTTGGTTATTTCATAGAAGGTTTCAGGAAGATAGCATCTGCTCTGCCGACACCAAAGAAAAGGAATATATCGGAAGCAATGAATAAGAGTAATGTGAAATCCATCAGCAGCTCCCATCTCATCGATGCAAAGCTCGAAGAGCATCAGTTGTGTGGATCCATGCAGCACTGTCCCGGTTGCGGACACAAGCTTCAAGGAAAACCGGTACGGATTCATCTCCTAATATTCTTGGCTTCAACAGCAAGCCTTTGATTGACAAATTATACTTGTATTCTAATCAAGGATTTTTCGGATAGTCAAGTTGTTTGTTTAACAACATTCCAACAATTGTTCTCTTTCTTTTGTTTATTCTTCCCTTTTGCTTTAATTTGAACAGAAAAATGAAAAAAATATTGCAGGACTGGTTAGGTCTACCAGCAGGAGTGAAGTTTGATCCGACAGATCAAGAACTGATACAACACCTCGAAGCAAAAGTGGAAGCCAGAGAAGACATCATCATGTCTCACCCTTTGATTGATGAGTTCATCCCAACGATTGAAGGACAAGACGGGATTTGTTACACACATCCTGAGAAACTCCCAGGTTGTCTTCAATAGTGTTTGCTTCCTTCAATGCTGTTAGGTCTTACTTTTTTTTTTTTGGGGGGGGGGGGGGGGTTGAAAATTAGGTCTTACTTTATTGTCAACCTAACAATGTTTTATATCAGGAGTGAGCAGAGATGGATTAAGCAGGCATTTCTTCCATAGACCACCAAAGGCTTACACAACCGGGACAAGAAAAAGAAGGAAAATCCAAACCGAATGCGAGTTGCAAGGTGGCGAAACGAGGTGGCATAAAACCGGCAAGACAAGGCCTGTCATGGTGACTGACAAACAAAAAGGGTGCAAGAAAATCCTGGTTCTCTACACTAATTTTGGAAAGAACCGAAAACCCGAAAAGACTAATTGGGTCATGCACCAATATCATCTGGGTCAACACGAGGAAGAGAAGGATGGAGAGCTTGTGGTGTCCAAGATATTTTATCAGACTCAACCCAGGCAGTGCAACTGGTCGGAACGAACAAACATCCACCTTGATAGCCACCGCCGGAATTGTTCTTCAAAGCAACAATTAATCATCCCTCTCAGACACCAAGTCGCTTTGTCGAGCCTCGCCGGTGCCATGGATATCCAACATTTAAAACCTGATCATCTTCTCAGCTTCCACGAGGTACGTTTTTCCTTCATTTATATTCCACGTGTTTCCTCCCACTACCATGTAAATTTTATGAATGCATCCAATACTTTCATTAAAGGATAAACATCAAAGTTTTCTTATCTAACATAAAATAAAAAGTAAAGCTTAGGGTTGCTTGCATATACGGCATTTAAAAAAAAACAAAATCTATATGGACCTCACTTGATTGCCTTCGTGAGCTATCTATTCTTTCTTTTTCACCCGCCAAATAGGACCTATATTGAGAGAGAAACAATAGAAAATTTGAAAGGCCTAAAAGAGGGGTAGTAGTAACAGAAAAGGAATATGTTTAGTTTCATGGTGGGGGGTTTGTCCATTGCAGGTGGGGATTGGAGAAACTTCAGCTGCAAGGGAAACTCCGACTCAAGGCCAAGAGAAAGCGGTGCCAAATCAGATTATCCATGATCATCATCATCAGCCGCAGCAGATTGCTACCACGGCGTTCCACATTAGCAGGCCTTCGCATCCCATTTCCACTATCATCTCTCCGCCACCACCCCTCCACCACACTTCCATCATCCTCGATGATGAGGACTCCTTCCATGTCTCCAGAATAATGCTTGAAAATGAAAGTTTCCAGGTAATATACATCGTCGTCGTCGTCATCGCTACTCTATCAATTAATTCTCCCCATATAATAATCAACCATCAACATTTCAATTAGTAACTTTTCTCTCGAGCAACCACAGTTTTACGTGGTACTTGTTTCTCAAAACCCAGCTTTCACTCGGGGACATGCTGCATGTTACTAATATTAACTACACTTATTGTTAAGCTCAAGGGCAACTCAATCATACATGCTTCATTTAGGTTAAGATCCTGATTCGGGAACAATGAACCGTTTTTAATTCTTGTTGAAACATATGATTCTAGAACAATGAACTGCATTTAATCCTTGTTGAATTGAATAAATGCAGCAAAATCATAAACTTGGAGGAAGTTCAGTAACAGGTTTGGAAGAACTAATAATGGGTTGCACTTCAAGTGACATCAAAGAAGTGAGTATGAACTTTTTGATCCTGAAATCTCATGACCCTTGTTTGACATAATACCAACTAAGCAAGGGAACTATAATTTTTAGGTGTATGTATTTTTTTAAAATTGTGTTTAAATTTCTTAAACAAAAGTCAAATACTTGAATCACATTGTTTAATAAAAAATAATTATATTGTTTGATAATACATTTTTTTATCTCAAAAATTATAAAATTTTAATTCTAAAAATATAATCATGATTAATAAATTTTTAGTTATAAAATAATTTGATGAATGAAAGTTTTTTCAAAAAAAATATAATTTTTAATTTTAAAAATAAATTATTTTCATAAATATTTTTAAAAAAAATCTAAATTTTATAATTTTTGTGAAATTATTACTTAAAATGTTAAAAAATGTTAAAATGAAATTTTAGTTATAATTGAGGTGTCAAATAAAATATTTCTTATTAATTTAGTATGTCATGTCATCCCCTTAACAATATTTCATTGTCGTTACCTATTATTTTTATTAAAAATCCAAAGTTTAATGTTTATTTTATAACTTTTAAAAATCTAATGACAAATGAAATTATTTTAATAAATTTAACGACCATTTATAAATTTTGTCATAATTTTTTATTAGTGGTGCATATCGATAATACATCATTATTGGTACACATCGATTTATGTCACACATTCTAGAGTTATCCTATATTTGAATATATGTTGCTAAAAGGGGTAGTAAAAGTAAGGGGGAAATGCCCCCTTTGTGACTATAAACAACAGAGAATGAAAAGGAAAAAAAATCTAAATCTAAATGATGGGGTAAAATATACAAAGAGAATACGGTATAGCATCAACATTACTGTTTTGGTCGAGAATTTGGAAGAATGCATAACATATTTTGTTGACTCGTGAGATTTGTTGGTTGCAGAGTGGACAAAAAAAGGGCAGCTTCTTCATTTGTTGTTTTTAGGTGAAAGAGTTTGTGTGGTTAAAACCCTAACCCTAAGTTTGGTTTGATTGGTAGGGGTCATCAATCACAAATCCACAAGAAGCCGAATGGTTCAAGTACTCCTCTTTCTGGCCTGACCCTCACCATCATTCCTAGTGCGTCCAAAATAATTACCACTCAAGTCCTTCCCAAGGAAAGAGAAAAAAAGCTAGTACTAGTTTGTTGTTTTAATGGGGGAGGTACAATATAGTTTCATGTTGTTGGAAATAAAGAATAAAATGAAAGCGAAAACAAAGAAGAAAAAGAGCAGGGGAAAAGGCTGCTCTCTTCTCACAAATAGGAGCAAATACCTCCATGCATCAAAATCATCGTCTTTATCTATTGGAATAGTTGACCCTAATTATTTTATTACTTGCATACTTTCCTTTATTTAATTTTATTGGCATGGTTTACCCTAATTTTTGTTTCAAGATACTTTGTTAATTGTATGCTCTTCTACAATATACGGAAGAAATATTAACAGTCGACTGACATATTTAACTATATTTTTATATAGATATGATCATCGAGAGCCTGATCACACCCATTAAGCAAACCATTGAATAATAATAAAATATTTGTAAAACATCATCACCATCATAAAATAACCTTCTCGTGACATGGTCAAATTCTAATCCCATACTTGAAGTAAAATTTTGTTTCGTTGCCCCTACAATCTTATTAGGGTAAACTACGTGAAAAATTTTGAGTAAGTTTTCATTTTTCACATTGAATTTTTAAAAGTTATTAATTGATTATTAAAATTATCGATTTGTAACAAAATCATCAATGTTAACCTCACTAACGGAAAGCTGAGTTGGACCGTTGACTGCCCACCTGGAGAACCGTCAAGAGTCCTTGTTCGATTATTCGGTCACTTCAGTAATTTTATGTTGATGAAGAAGCAGCTTCGACACCGACAGAGTCCGCGACTGAGCAAAAGATCGAGACAGTGGAGAGAAACCATCGGAAAAATTCAAACCAGAGGAGACGAAAGTAGAAGAAAAGAAAGTAGAAGAGGAAAGCCGAAGGAAGAAGCACCCAAAGCTGGAGAGAAATCAAACCCACCCCCAGCAGAGACTAGAAAATCTGAGGGCATAACTACCGCTGTCACTCAATAGAATAGTCGTCGACTCCGACGACAACTACTCTGCTGTAGGAAGTAGAGAACCCTCCATTAACACATAAAGAAGAGCAAAAATCAATGAAGGTAGCAGCAAAAACCAAAAATTGAAACGAGTAAAAGCACTCAACTTGTCATGAATGAGTTAGAACTTCGACCACTATCCGGTGACCATACCTGCACCGCGTCCGTTCTCGTAGACCGTATCCTATTTTTATACGTCCAAATTGTTAAAGCAAAACAAACCAACAAAGAACCATCTTGGTAGCAATAAAAGGTTGCAATTTTGTTCATTAGTGCAAGTATCTTCATACTATTTTTATTTCTATTTCTTACCCTAAAATCTAAAGGTTCAGTTGCTTGCAAAGATATGTTAAAGAATTCATTCTAAAGTTACTCACTCCATGTTGCATAAGTCACTCATTTTTATCCCTCATTCGGAACTGGTTGTCTTATTTTCATCGGAATAGATACCGTGTCCCATGCATGCAAATCAAATCTTTGTCTTTCCTTAATTACTGTAAGAAATGGTTGTCCCTTATTCCCATATGTAATAGGATAAGGGGAGGTAAGATAGTAGGCTGCTCCCAACACCAGGTTGAGATAAGCTTCCGTAGAAGACCTCCGAATTATGAAATACCCTCCGTGTGACTCGATTCCACGACCTCAAGGTTAAGAACCTTGTGCTCTACCAACTGAGCTGGATAGTCATCTCCTTTGCTTAATTAATGTCTTCTAACAAAATGAGGCACTCATTTAATCTCACGTGTAAGCTCATCACTTTGTTGATGTTGTATAAAACATGGTTTAAAACACCTTCAATTTAATTTAACAAGCCAATAAAGAACTAGCTTTTCACCTTCATGCCAAATTGGTTATCGTACTCGCAGCATGTCCTTTTAATGGCTTTTAAAGACCCTTGAATGAACTGTATTTGGGTAAGAAAATCGTAATGCCATGTTCAGTGTTGTTGGCTTGGTTTTGGAAGGCGTTAATGAGTTAATTGATTCAAGGTAATTAAGTAATGTGTTAAACGGACTAGCCACACAGAGTAAATCAGTGAGGTTTATATATTGCGGAGTCGGAGTCGGTGTTTGTGTCGGAGTTGAGGTCAATATAAATAAATCAGGGCGACTAGCTTTTTCCATATATGTGAAAGAAGAGCAAATGAACAATGTAGAAGAAATAAGTCACGAGAAACTGCATTTTTTTTCTGTGCTTACCCTATAAATTTTGTTTTGCTTCGATAAATACCCTTAAACATAGTTCTCGGAAAGGAGTGGTGAAATTGTAATACGGTCGGCACAAAGGTGTTTGTGGAAAGGAGTGGTGAAGATTTGACTAAAGGGTTATCTTAGAAAAAATATTTTCTTATTAAAAATAAGTCAAAGAGTCAACCGAAGTATCACCAATATAATCAAAAGGAGCCAAATCAGCTATAATTTTTGCTGCTACCTTCGTTATTTTTTCTTCTTAATGCGCTAATGGAGAGGGTTCTCCACTTATAACAGCGAAGGAGTTGTCTTCAGAGGCAGCAGCTCTGGAGTGGCAACGAAGTTATTCCCTCAGACTTACTAGTCTCCGTCGAGGGTGGGTTTGGTTTCTCTCCAGCTTTGGGTGCATCTTCCTTTGGCTTTCCTCTTCTCCTTTCTTTTCCTCTACTTTAGCCTCCTCTGATTTGGATTTTTCAGGTGGTTTATGCTCCACTATGATGATCTTCTGCTCAGCCACAGACTCTGTCGGTGTCGAAGGTGCTTCTTCACCAACGTAAAGTTGCCAAAGTGACTAAATCTGTAAATCATCAAACAAAGATTCTAATGGTTCTCCGACGGGGCAGTCAATGGTCTAGTTAAACATTTAACAATCTAACTCAGATTTCTGTTATTAAGGTTAAAGTCGGTTAACGTCGAGTGACCATTTTACTATAAATCAATAACATTAGTGATAAGTAATTTTTGAAAGTTTAGTGTGAAAATGAAAACTTTCTCAAATTTTAGTGACTGTTTATGTAGTTTACCCATCATATTACTAATACCTAAGGGGACAGGACAGCGGAGCTATAATTAAATTATGCTCACCCAATCAATGTAAAAAAAACCTATTGATAATTAATGATGCGTGAAAATAAAAAGAGTTGGTGTGATATTATTAACTTACGAGATCAAGTATTATTTTCAATATTTATTTAGCTTCTTTGAGTACGTCTTTCTCTATGTTCTCTCACTTTGTATATTGTTGTTATGAACCTTAGTGAATTCAAGAAGAATTTAGGGATTTAGAGGAATTGATAAGAATAGAATTGAGAGAAAATATGATAATTTCATTAATTGCCAGAATAGATTCTTTTTTTTCCAGTACAATAGTTCATTATATTCTTCAGTACAAACAAATCTAACAGAATTTGTTCTGTACAGTTGGCAGTCACAACTGATTCCAACAATTTTTCACGTGTTGGGTTGTTCAACAGCAAGCCCAGTCTGGTGGTTCATTTCTAAGCAGGCCGGTCCTTTAACCAATCCAACCGAAACTCTTGTTGGGTTCTCCACGCAAGTCATTTGCCCCAATTTAAGAGATTGGTTCTGCTGCTCCAGGTATCCTTTCATTTCTCCCAATCTTTCCCGCAAAATCCCTAATCCATCAGCAGAAATCCTTAACATTTCCCCCTTTTCTGCCATGTCCATAACATCTCCCTCCCCTTCACCTGATCCTTGTCCCCAAGGATCAAAGTCTGGAAATTGAGACTTCAAAACATTATAATCTTCCCAAGTCGCGTTTTCAGTCCCCAAATTCGACCATTGTATCAACAATTACGTGACCGCTCGGTTCTGTCTCTTCACGATCCTTTTGTTAAGCACTATGGCTGGATACACCTTCATTTGTCCATCATCACTGAGTTCAGGAGGATTCTTCGAGGTAACTGCTCCTTCACCTACCTTCTTCTTCAATAGACTCACATGAAAAACATGGTGAATTTTTTAGTGCGTTGGCAGTTCCAATTGATACGCTACTAACCCTATTTTTTTGATTTTGTAAGGTCCATAATATTTCGCAGCCAACTTTAAATTCTTTCGGACAGCTACTGAAGATTGTTTATAGGGCTGCAATTTGAGGTAAACCTCCTCTCCTTCTTGAAATTCCCTGTCACTTATATGTTTATCTGGATTTTGTTTCATCATGTTTTGAGCCTTAGCTAGATTTTCTTTCAGTAATCTCTGTAGCTGTTCCCTTTCCACCATCATTTCCTGTACTGTGTTGACACTAGTATCATTAGGCCAAGTAATCATAGGAGGCTTGCACCCATACATTGCTTTAAAAGGTGTAATTCTTAGGGCTGAATGATAATTAGTGTTATACCACCATTCAGCCAGTGGTAATCATCTTGCCCAACTACCAGGTTTATGGAAACACATACTTCTCAAGTATTGTTCCAAACACTGATTTAATCTTTCAGTCTGCCCATCTGTCTCTGGATGATAGGATGTACTGAAAAGAGTTGTAGTTCCAAGCTGCCTCATTAATTCCTTCCAGAACAAACTTGTAAAAGTTTTGTCTCTGTCAGATATAGCTATCTTAAGAGGTCCATGCAATTAATAAACTTTCTCCAAATAGGTTCTAGCTATTTCAGTTACTGTATAGGGATGTGATATGGCTAAAAAATGGCCATATTTGGAGTACTTATCCACTATTACCAATATGCAATTGGATTTCATTGACTGTGGTAGTCCTTCAATGAAATCCATGGTAATAACTTCCCATGCATGATTAGGAATAGCAATATGTTGTAACAAACCTGATACTGCTACATTCTCCCCTTTAGTTCTTTGACAGACTTCACATGTCTTCACATAAGTCTTCATCTGATTTTTCAAACCTTTCCAATAGAAATAAGGTTTGATTCTCTGATATGTTGCTTGTACTCCATAATGTCCTCCCTGAGGAGAATCATGCAAGCACTCCATTATTTTCTTTATTAAATTCCCATGTTCCCCAATGTAGACTCTATTCCTATCCTTAGCACCCCTTTAACTAACTTCCAATCAGACTCTATATTAGAGTTAATGATTAAACCTGTAATAAATTTATGAGCTAAGGTATCTCCTTGATAATTGTCTTCAATTTCTTTCACCCATTCAGGAATCAGTACTGTAGTAGTCATCTGTAAACACTCTCCTTTTTCTTCCTCAATTCTTCTGGATAAAGCATCTACCACTACATTCAATCTGCCCTTCCTATAATGTATGACATAATCCAAACCCAACAATTTGGATAATCCATTTTTCTGAATGGTAGTGGTTAACTTCTGCTCCAATAGATGTTTTAAAGGTTCATGGTCTGTTTTGATTATAAAAAGACCATTTTCTAGGTAGTGTCTCCATTTAGATACAACCATGAGTATGGCTATATACTCTTTCTCATAAATAGACAGTTCCATATGCCTTGGTCCCAAAGCCTTACTCAAATAAGCTAATGGCCTGCCATCCTGTGTCAAAACAGCCCCAATTCCTTGTTGACTTGCATCAGTCTCCAAACAGAATGTTTTGCTGAAGTTTGGAAGAGCCAATACATGAGCTTCACACATAGACTGCTTCAATTTCTTAAAAGTTGTTTCTGCTTCAACATTCCAGTTAAAAGCTCGTTTTTTTAGTAAACTTGTCAGTGGTTTACTGATTTCCCCATACCCTTTAATGAATTTTCTATATTATCCTGTAAGTCCTATGAACCCTCTCAAGGACTTGAGATTCTTTGGAACTGGCCATTTCTGCGTTGCCTCCACCTTAGTAGGATCAGTAGAAATTCCTTATGTTGATATTACATACCCCAAATACTCCACTCTATTTTGTCCAAAGAAACACTTACTTTTTTTTGCATACAATTGATTTGTCCTCAAAATTTCCAAGACCACCTTCAAATGTTGCGATTAGGACTATACACCAAAATATCATCAAAAAATACTAACACGGACTTCCTCAAATATGGACCAAATAATTCATTCATTAATGCTTGAAAAGTGGCAGGTGCATTGGTTAAACCAAAGGGCATTACCTTGAACTCATAGTGCCCATGATGTGTCCTGAATGTTGTTTTAGGAATGTCCTCTTCTTTAACTCTTATCTGCCAATATCCTGATCTCATATCTATTTTAGAAAAATAGGAAGCCTCAGCCAATTCATCTAACAAGTCTTCCACTACTGGAATTGGGAATTTTTTTTTAACTGCCACAACATTTAGCTGTCTATAATCCACACACATTCTCCATGTTTCATCCTTCTTCTTTACCAATAAACAAGTGAAGCAAAAGGACTCTTACTGGTCTGAATAATTGAGGCAGACAACATCTCTTTAATCTGTTTTTCAATTTCTGTCTTCTGTGGGTGTGGAAATCTGTAGGGTCTCAGATTTATTGGTTGAGTTCCTTCTTTGAGAATCGCTGCATGATCATGGCTTCTAATAGGAGGCATTTTCTTAGGTTCTTCAAAAACATCTTGATACTCCTCTAGTAAAGGTTGTAATTCCACTGGAAATTTGGATTCAACTATCTCCATACTCAAAAAATATGCTTCTCCTATCACTTCTGGTTCCCTTGCAGTAATTTGTATCAGCTTGGATTCTGAAATCAATTTCATTAAAGAACCCTTCTGTTTTCCTTCAAATTTAATCTCATTTTCTCCCACTTTAAAAGTCATAGTCATCTCCTTAAAATCCATTAGAATTGGACTATATTAACTCATCCAATCCAGTCCTAACACCATATCACTTCCCCCCATATTCAGAACTCTAAAATCATATTCAAATGCATTTCCTTGCATTTTCCAGCTCAACTTGTTACTCTTGGCAGTGTTGAATAATTTTTCTCCATTAGCAACTGTTATAGCCAAAGGGTGAGTTTGTTCCACTTCCACAACTTCCTTTGCCCATCTAGGAGTAATGAAACTGTGTGTACTCCCACTATCCACCAAAATATTTAGAGATTTTCCTCTAATAACTCCTTGAAGTCTCAAAGTATTATGTCCCACACTGCCAGTAAGAGCATTAATAAAAATCTCCAAAGCTCCTTGTTCTTTACCCTCAACTTCTTCTTCTTTATCTTCCTCCTCATCTCCTTCTATGTTTTCTTCCTCCTCCATCATATTAAGCTGTTTAAGTTTACATTGATGACCAGGAGTGAATTTTTCTCCACACTTAAAACACAAATTATGTGCTCTTCGATACTCGATCAAAGTTTGTTTATTTGGAGAATTGATTGTTGGATTCTTCTGTATATTTGATGCAGCCAGAAACTTTTGTGATTGAGCATGTATTCCTGGATAATTGTTTTTGAGCAGTGACATCTTCTTTTTTGCTTCCATTTCTAATGACAATTCACACAACCTGGCCTTCCCAGCTTCATCCAGACTTTTTGGTTCATGCATCCTCACTCTATGCTTAATTTCCTCCTTCAACCCACTCAGAAACATAGACACAAAATAGTCTTCCCCAAGATAAGAATTATTCTGTAACATGAATGGTTTGAGCTCCTCAAACTTCTCTTGATAATTCTCCACTGTGGATTTCTGCAAAAGCTTACTAAATTCTTCAATCACATTAATATAGTTCTTATCACAGAACCTGCTACATACATCCTCCATGAATTCCTGCCATTTTACTTAACCTTTTTGCATAATATATCCATCATACCAATTTTCAGCTTTACCTGTCAAATACATTGCTGCTATTTCCATTTTCTGTTCATCAGGAATTACAAAAATAGTAAAATACTTTTGACATTTTTTG